TTAATGGTGAGAGGAGGAGGGGGGAGGCTAATGAACTCTTCTCTCCTCGCAGAAAAACATGGAGCAACTTTCTGCAGCGTGTGTTGTCGAAGCCATTCGACAACACGCGCTGCGCACGTGAAACCGTCTGTGGGCGTCAACAGCACCATAGACATAATTATACATAGATTATGTACGGCAGCTCTATACAGCTCTGGGTGTAATCTGGGTGTAGTCTGTCATATGTCTGGTGTTTTACCTGCCTGCATGCTGAAACCACGTGACACGTTACAGCCAATACCGAAACTTGACACCGAAAGAAGAGTGACGTTTCAATACATACACCGACCGGTGCAGTTCGGTCGGTGCCATAAAAGAACCTGGGTTCGGTACTCAGCCCTACGTGAACCCCGTCTGTGGGCGTAACCACCTACGCCTGTGTTTTACCTGCCTGTGTGCTGAAACCACGTGACACGTTACAGCCAATACCAAAACTTGACACCGAAAGAAGAGTGACATTTCAATCCATACACCGACCGGCACAGTTCAGTAGGTGCCACAAAAGAACCTCGGTTCGGTGTACACCCCTACCTTAGAATGCATCACAAGTTGTGTATCCGTTTTCATTAAGGTAACCATTTCTGCTAGCTTCAATACTGCACTAATGTGACCTTTGACTTTGAGGTCATCAAGGTCACCTGGTGAAAGTAGGTATCTGCAGACAAATTTGGAAGGTGGATCTGGACAGCCACATCTGATTGGACGATTAAAAAAAGGCATATCTGGACGGTCACATCTGATTGGATAATAAAAAACAAGGCGTTACTGGAACAAAAACAAAAAAACATCCGTTTTGGTTGTTGAATAATGTGAAAATAGTTAGAATAATTTCATAAAGAAAGAAAAATAAAGTAACCGAAATAATAATGAAATTTAGGGTAGGGCTGGGCCATATCATATTGTTCACGATAATACCGGTAAAAAAAAAGCTTGCCCGGGCAAAAATATGATATCATATGATATGATAATTTCATGACGTAATACGTCAGGGCGCCCCGCCCCTGTAACAGAACCGAGCACGCCGAGCAACCAAACCGAATTGCGCACCCCCCCCCCCACCTGTCGTATGGCGTAACGCTAATTAGTTGTGTGCAATACTAGCTAGCTAAAAAGCTAAAAACAAACAACGCATGGCTCAGCTGTCTCTCCATCCAGCTCTAAACTGCAGGTACAAACAACTCAACTGTCTCCCTTCACCGCTCTAAGCTGCCACTCTTCTTTTTTTTTTTCTCCCCACCCCGCTCTGAGCTGCCGGTGCGGGCTGTGTCCCCCCCGCTCTAAACTGCGGGTACAAACACACAAAGCTAAACTGTCTCTTGAGATCCACAGTCCATGGAGCAAGAACAGAGTCAGGTGATGAAAGACAAACCATCAGAGAAATTAATAATTCCTGCAGGAACAGAGGAAGCTGAAATACCACAAGCTTCAGGGTCAGCTGATCACCTTGTTACAAGTTCTGGAAGTTATAGCTCATTTAAAGGCAACATATATTTTGCTGTATGCTACATTTATGCTCAACAGATCTTAAGCTTCATTTTATTTTATTTAGTTATTTTGGGAAACTTAACCTGCACTTTAGTTTTTGTGGTGGATTTATTGATATATATTTTGTACAGACTTTTTCAATCTAAATAACAGAAGGATTTTTTTTTATACTTGGAGACTGAATACTAAAGTAACTTCAGTAAAATTAACGCTTGTTTTTCTAAATTTTATATAATACTGCAAAGTAACATGGTAAGTTAATTTTATCAAATAACTATGATTTCTGTTTTGTTTTTTTGTGATATCACGAAATTTATCGTTATCGTCAGAATGCTCTGAAATATCACAATAGTACAGGTCCTTCTAAAAAAATTAGCATATTGCGATAAAGGTCATTATTTTCCATAATGTAATGATAAAAATGAAACTTTCATATATTTCAGATTCATTGCACACCAACTGAAATATTTCAGGTCTTTAATTGTTTTAATACTGATGATTATGGCATACAGCTCATGAAAACCCAAAATGCCTGTCCCAAAAAATTAGCATATCATGAAAAGGTTCTCTAAACAAGCTATTAACCTAACCATCTGAATCAACGACGTAACTCTAAACACCGTCAAAAGATTCCTGAGGCTTTTAAAAACTCCCAGCCTTGTTCATTACTCAAAACCGCAGTCATGGGTAAGACTGCCAACCTGACTGCTGTCCAGAAGGCCATCATTGACACCCTCAAGCAAGAGGGTAAGACACAGAAAGAAATTGCTGAACGAATAGGCTGTTCCCAGAGTGCTGTATCAAGGCACCTCAGTGGGAAGTCTGTGGGAAGGGAAAAGTGTGGCAGAAAACGCTGCACAACGAGAAGAGGTGACTGGACCCTGAGGAGGATTGTGGAGAAGGGCCGATTCCAGACCTTGGGGGACCTGCGGAAGCAGTGGACTGAGTCTGGAGTAGAAACATCCAGAGCCACCGTGCACAGGCGTGTGCAGGAAATGGGCTACAGGTGCCGCATTCCCCAGGTCAAGCCACTTTTGAACAAGAGATTGCGTCAGAAGCATCTCGCCTGGGACTGCTGCTGAGTGGTCCAAATTTATGTTTTCTGATTACAGTAAATTTTGCATTTCCTTTGGAAATCAAGGTCCCAGAGTCTGGAGGGAGAGAGGAGACACAGAATTCACATTGCTTGAGGTCCAGTGTCAAGTTTCCACAGTCACTGGGGTGTTATCTGTCATCTGCTGGTGTTGGTCCACTGTGTTTTATCAAGGGCAGGGTCAATGCAGCTAGCTATCAGGAGATTTTGGAGCACTTCATGCTTCCATCTGCTGAAAAGCTTTATGGAGATGAAGATTTCATTTTTCAGCATGACCTGGCACCTGCTCACAGTGCCAAAACCACTGGTAAATGGTTTACTGACCATGGTATTACTGTGCTCAATTGGCCTGCCAACTCTCCTGACCTGAACCCCATAGAGAACCTGTGGGATATTGTGAAGAGAAAGTTGAGAGACGCAAGACCCAACACTCTGGATGAGCTTAAGGCCGCTATCGAAGCATCCTGGGCCTCCATAACACCTCAGCAGTGCCACAGGCTGATTGCCTCCGTGCCACGCCGCATTGAAGCAGTCATTCATGCAAAAGGACTCCCGACCAAGTATTGAGTGCATAACTGAACATGATTATTTGAAGGTTGGCGTTTTTTGTATTAAAAACACTTGTCTTTCATTGGTGGGATGAAATATGCTAATTTTTAGGGACAGGCATTTTGGGTTTTCATGAGCTGTATGCCATAATCATCAGTATTAAAACAATTAAAGACCTGAAATATTTCAGTTGGTGTGCAATGAATCTGAAATATATGAAAGTTTCATTTTTATCAATACATTATGGAAAATAATGACCTTTATCACAATAGGCTAATTTTTTGAGAAGGACCTGTATATTCGACTTCACTTCACTTTCACTTTCACTTGGACGAAGTCGCTTCACGACTCTCCCACTAGATTAAATAAAAACTGTCCTGAAAAATCTTTCATCTTAGACCTATTTCTAACTAATATGCCTCACAAATTCCCTGGTACAGGTGTATTCGCTGATATTTTGAGTGATCATTGTGTGACAGCTGCTTTTAGAGATATTAAACTTCCACCTTCTAAGCCCAGATTAATTCAAAAAAGGGATCTGAAACGTTTTTGTGAACAGTCATTCCTCTGGGATCTGTCTCACTTTGACTGGCATCATATTCTGTTAACTGATGACGTGAACTCCGCTTGGAACTATTTTCATAATAGTTTCATTTTTTTTGTGAACAAACATGCTCCTTTTCGTCAGTTCAGAACAGTGGCGGCTCCAGAAATTTTTTTCAGCAGGTGCTAAGGGGAGGCTAAGCATTTTACTGTGGGTGCTATGAAGGTTATTTTTCTTCCCTAGAGTTATCAACACAAACACAAGCACACGTGCACGCACACACACACACACACACAGGTGCACTGAAAACTCTGACATCAGCAGTCACCAATACAGTGGATAGTGAATAATGTGGTACTCTGCAATTAATTTAAAGCATATACAAACGTGACACACTTGCCATATTTATAGATCTTAGTATGCAAACTGTTACAACAAATTCACATTGTTTCCCCAGATGTATCACATAAACAATTTCAGTCCACAATGCTGAATGCATTACAAAGTCAGAGAAGATTGAAATCATTCACTCACCATCAGAAGTCTTCATAACAGGACAATCCGCCTGTTATTGTGGTTGAGGGCAAAAGCATCAATAATCCTGTCACTGTCCAGGGTCCTGGTTCTTAAAGGATTGATAGCAAGAAGTGCCAGGTCACTTGTTCGACTGTCTCCGCTGCTGTTTCTTAGGTAGTTCTTCAAACGACGCAAACAAGAAAAACTGCGCTCACAGCTCACTGATGTTACTGGAAGAGTCAAAGATATGGATATCAGCTTATACAAGTCCAGGAATGCATCTTTGTAGGGCCGCATCACAGATAGGAAGTCTTGTGTGTTGTTGATTATAAGTCCCAGTTCTTCTTTCCTTTTCAGCAGCCGGCGAACCTGGTGGAGCTCAGCTGACAAGTTCTCCTCGTTAACTCCATGAAGACAGGCCATAGGCAGTATCCATTTTTTGTCAAGGAATGATGGGTGTTTGGGGTTTAGAGCTGGCAAACCTTTCAGTACTTCATTAGTTTCTGAAGAAAAACGCTGTTTCATTTCCATTAGCATCCTGTCTATAACAGAATAGAATGATTTTGTTTTTAGGTCATCCGTGCTGTCTGCACCTTTTCTTTCTATTGAGGCATCCACAATAAAGTGCTCTAGATGTTTAGCTGTTTGAGTCTGTCTTTTCTGCCGATGTACAGTCTCTGTTGCTATTCCTGTGTTGCTGCAAAGTTCTTCTGCTTCTTTTCTGAGTGTCTCCCATTTGTCATCTGTGCGTTTTTCTGTTAAAGCAGTTATTACAGAATGAGCCAGATCATTTGCTGCTACTAGATCTAAATTAGGAGACTGTAGCTGATCAGACATGAATTTTGTTGTTCTGAAAATATCCTCAAAAATTACAAGATGCAGAACAAACTTCTTATCTATAAGTGCACTGAGAGCTTTAGCCTCCGTCCTCCTTTTAGCATTTTTCTGGTCAACAACATCGTGCAGCGTAGCTATAACAGCTGGGAGAGTTTTTTTGACAGCACGTATGGAATCATACTGGCACGCCCAGCGGGTGTCACTGAGTCTTTTAAGTTCTAGGCGCTGTACAGCTGACACAAGTTCTTCCTGCTTCTTCAAAAAAAGATCATGAACAACAGACCCAGAAAAAAACTTGTAAAGCATTTGCAATATCTCAAAAAAATCGGCTGCAGCATCAACATTATGTACACAGTCTACTAACACAAGATTCAGCCTGTGAGCATGGCAGTGAATGTACACAGCTTGCGGCACCTCTTTTCTCAACTTTTCTTGAACTCCATTGTTGCACCCGGACATAACAGCAGCACCGTCATAGCACTGTCCGACACAGCAATTTATATCAATATTACAACGACTGAGGGTCATTTTGATACAGTCAAAAAGTGAGTCTGCATCTAATCCTTCTGCTGGGGTGAAATGCAAAAATTCTTCCACCACCTTCTCTGAATCTGGCTGCAAATAACGAACAATAACAGATATTTGTTCTTTTTTGCTGATATCTTTACTTTCATCCACCAAAATAGCAAAGTGTTGAGCTTCTTTCACTTCATTGCTGATTTGTTTTCTTATCATTTCAGCCATAACATTAAATATTTCGTTCTGTATGTCATGATGAACATACTTAGCATTAGATGGATTAATTGTCAGTTTTTTTTGGACATTGGGATCAAATTTTCCAATCACATCAAGCATCTCACGAAAATTACCTTTGTTAGCTGAATCCTGTTTCTCACTGTGACTGCGCTGTGCGATTCCCTGACAAGCTGTGTAGCGCAAACTTTCTACAACACCCATCATGTACCTCCGGTTCTCCTGAACCAATGCAGAATGTCCTTTGTCGAGCATGTTGGGGAGTTTTGATCCACTCGTTTGTTTAAACTTGAATTCACTCCACGCTTCCATTGCAAATTTGTGTCCGGCGCTTTCATGATGGCTCTTCAATGACGCTGCTGCTTTCCGCCAGTTGTTAAAGCCGAGCGCGGTAAATGCTGGCTCAAGATGGAACCTGTGTCCTCCTTTTAGAAAATGCCGACAAGCAAAACAAAACACGGCATCTTTACTCACGCTGTATTCTAACCACAAATATTGATCGAGCCAGCCTTTACTAAAACTTCTCTGTTGCACTCCAAACAAGCGTGATGGGTATTTTTGCAGAAGTGGTCGTCTTGGTCCATCTTGAGGACTTCTGCTTAGATCTTCTAGCTGTCCAGTGCTAACACTGTTAGCATTCTCAGCAGCAGTGGAAGGATAACTGCACAGTTTATCTTCTTCATCCAGATTAATATTTCTTTGTTGGTCGGACTCTGCTTCCAAAAATGCATCCTTCTCAAATTCCATCCGTGGAACTTTTGGTTGCAAAAAACGATCCATATTTGCGCAGCGTGTTCCTCTCAATTGCTTCCCGGAAGTAATAATACGCAAAGTTCAAATCAGGTTGAATTATTTTTTTTATTTTTATTTTTTACTGAAATTAGAATGGTTGATTCTTTTTATATATATTTGTCTTTAGAAGAAAATGCCACAACTACATATTTAAAATATTAAATTAGATGAAGAAAAAAATCTAAATATTTCCTGGGGGTGCTATGGAGGTGCTATAACTTTTCTAGGGGTAGCTATAGCGCCCCCTAGCGTCCCCCTGGCGCCGCCACTGGTTCAGAATAAAGGGACGAGACAGCCCCTGGTTTACTCCAGAGCTAGCTGACCTCCTGCACAGGAGAGATCATCTTTGGGCTGCAGCGAGAAAATCTGACTCAGACACTGATTGGTTGAGTTTTCGACAGATGAGGAATAAATGTACAACTGCTGTCAAAGCAGCAAAACGCAACTATTTCTTATCTCAGACTTCCAAAAATCTAAATGACCCTAACAGATTCTGAAAAACCATCAAATCTCTCTCAGGCACCCCCCAATCATCTGACCTCCCATCACAACTTCTCATTAACTCTGTTCCTGTGTCAAATAAGCACGAGATCCTGAACTGTTTCAACAAACACTTTGTTGCTTCTAGTTCTTTATTTGACACAGTTACTAACAGAAAATCAGCCATTTCCCCTAATAACCAAACTTCAACAAATCAAATCCCTACTACAAGTCAATCCTCAGTTAATCACAGCTTCTCTTTTTCTCCATTCTCAGTCAGTGAGGTTAATAAACTGTTAAAAGATCTTGACCCTAAAAAATCTGCAGGTCCAGATGAACTTCCACCTTATTTTTTAAGGCTGGCTGCTCATATCATCACAGTCCCTGTGACCCATATCTTCAATCTCTCCATAAGACAAAACTCCATCCCAGACACTTGGAAAACAGCCTTTGTTCTTCCTTTGCTGAAGGGAGGTGACCCCACCTCACTGAACAACTATCGACCAATCTCTAAACTCTGCATTTTAGCCCAGGTTCTAGAAAAACTGATAAACTCTCAAATCAAAAATTACCTGGACTCATTTAACATCTTACCTCCCCATCAATCCGGTTTCAGGAAACAACACAGCACAACCACTGCTTCACTGAAGGTTCTTAATGACGTTGTTGAAGCACTGGATGCTAAGGATTATTGTGCTGCACTTTTCTTAGACCTGTCTAAAGCTTTTGACACTGTGGATCAGAACATCTTGTGTCATAAACTCTCAGAAATTGGTTTCTCAGAACACACCATTGGTTGGTTCTCTAACTATCTTTCAGACCGGAGGCAATGTGTTCAACATAATGGTACTTCCTCCAGTTATTTAACAGTCAACAATGGTGTACCACAAGGCTCAGTCTTAGGACCCACCCTCTTTACAATCTACATACATAATGTAGGTAAAAGCATCCCTAATGCATCCATACATTTCTATGCTGATGACACAGTTGTTTATTGTCGAGCTAAAACTGTTGCTAAGGCTTTCCAGCTTTTGAATTCTGCATTCAACTACATCCAGACTGATTTGTTCCGCCTCAAACTTGTCCTAAATGCTGACAAAACCAAAGGGATGCTTTTTTCAAATAGGAAGTTGGTCCCAGCAGTTCTTCCTCCGATTTTATCCTCAAATGGTGTCCCCATTGAGTTTGTTGAATCCTATAAATATTTGGGTATCTTGGTCGACTCACATCTCTCTTTTAATCTCCATGTGGAAAACTTGGTAAAGAAACTGAAAGTTAAACTGGGTTTCTTTTTCAGAAACAAATCCTGTCTAACCCTGAATGCTAGAAAACGCCTTGTATCTGTGACTTTCCTTCCCTCAATTGATTATGGTGACATTATTTACATGAACGCTCCTACAAGAACCCTGCAGATGCTGGATGCTGTCTATCATGGTGCACTAAGATTCATAACTGGCTGTGATTATCGTACTCACCACTGCACCCTGTATTCACTAGTTAACTAGACATCATTAACTTCACGCAGACTCTCTCACTGGTACATTTTCATCTTTAAATCACTTCTTGGTCTGCTGCCTTCATACATCTCCTCCTACATGTCTCTGTGTGAGTGCAGCTACAGCGTGCGCTCTCAGGACATTATTACCTGCAGTGTTCCCTCAATGAGGACTGAACTAGGCAAAAGGGCCTTCTCCTACTCCGCTCCTGTTTCCTAGAATATCTTACAAAAAGATTTGAAGCTCTCGACCTTGACCTCTCTAAGTGGCTTTAAGAATCTGTTGGACTCCTGGCAGGGACCAATGCAGACATGTTCCTGTTTTTAGTTTTCTACATTCGCCTTAGAATCTAGCTGTTTTTTTTTTTTGTTACCTTTTCCTTTTTCTTTTTTTCCTTTTAGCCATCCTATTTGTAAAAAAAAAAAAAAAAAACTGTATTATGACTTTTTATAATTGTTTATTGTTGTTGCTGTTGTCATCTTTCTTTGTTGAAATCAGGTCTCTCTTGTAAATGAGTCCTCGAGGCTCAATGGGATTTACCTGTCTACATAAAGGTTGATTGATTGATTGATTGAGCCATATCGCCCACCCCTAACTTTGGGGTGCATCGATAAATCGGCCTCAATTTCCTTAATTTTGGGAAATCAGAAATCAGCAGATACTTGCATGATAAACCGATTTTACTTATTTTTTTGTTTGTTTTAACAACAATTGTCTGAACTTCATTTATATTTCAGAGCACTACATCATGGCCAGTTAAAACAAGTTTGTATTGTTTCTAGGATATTGTTCAAGGGTATGTTTTTCAATAAAATATTGGAAAATTGAAGGTACATTGTGATTTTATAACACCTGACAGTGTCGCTTATAAAACAAAATAGATATCGGCCAAAATCGGAATCGGCAGGTCAGACTTTTTAGAAATCTGTGCTCGGTCAGAAAACTGCAATCGGTGCACCCATAAAAACTGGCTTTGAGACAAAGGATGTTACCTTTAACTTCAAATTTTCTTGTTCAACCTTTTTTTTTTTTCCATTTACCCCTTATTTATACAGGTAGTCTCATTGAGCCATGAGAACTCATTTTCAAGAAAGACTTGTTTAGGGAGCAGATGGTGGGGGTTAAGGGCCTTGCTCAGGGGCCAAGAGTGGGGTGAATGAGGGTGGAGGCAGGTGTGGGTGTTCCACCTTTTCCACCCACATGTTGATGTTGACGGTACCGGGAGTTGAGCCTGCTACTTTCAGATCACAGGCCCATCTTCTATCCTCTGTGCCACCACTCCCCCAAATTTTTAATGCAGTCACTGCTGTAGGGGAACACCACCACAGAAACAGTTCACCTCAGCTTAAGCAGAAACAGTTCACCTCATCTCAAACAAACATCATTCATGTGTTTTGAACTGTTTAAAATAAGATGCATCTATTCACTTGGGAACAGACTTTGCTTTACAGGTGTTCAATTCAGCACTGACTTAGTTGACACTAATGAAAGTGTAATAAAATTAAATTTAAAAAACTGTTACTGTGTTAACCACTTTCAATTTGAACTCATTTCCCACGAAACAACAGGTCGTTTTAATGAGTTTGGTTCAACTGACCTCAAAGTAAAACATCTGCTGAGATGAACTTTTATTTTTTTTTAAAAGGAGTATTACTCCCAGGATGGGTTCCAATGAAGATAACATTTTAAAGAACCCTTTGTATAAAATGACATTTTCTTTTCAGGAGATGAACAGCAACACTTTTTGGATGAACATTGCATGTTATTTCAAAAGCTTCAGACCTGAATGTTCGTTTATGAAAATGTCTGTTTAAGTAATCCCTCTAAGATAATCAATTGTCTTGTTTTTCTCTTTTTAAAAGAAGAGTGACATTTTAGAGGCAGACAGAGAAAATGGACTTTAGATGTTATAAAACATGAAAGAGTTAGGACCACCCCTCTTCCAAAAGGTGGACCAAAGTCAATCTGTAACACACAGACAGTTAAGTTGGGGGAGTGGTGGCGCAGAGGTTAGGGAAGGTGGGCCTGTGATCGGAAGATCGTCGGTTCAAGCCCCGGTACCGACAACATCAAAAATGTGGGTGGGGTAAGTGAAGTACCCACACCTGCCCCCACCCTCATTCACCCCACTCTGGGCCCATGAGCAAGGCCCTTAACCCCCACCATACTCCCTAAACAGGTCTCTCTTGAAAATGAGTCCTCGTGGCTCAATGAAACTACCTGTATAAATAAAGGGTAAATGAAAAGTTAAGTTTCACTTATACTTCCATTCTACTTGTACATCACATCTTCTTCACCACTTCTTCTTCAAGCACTGAACTTAGAGCAAACTTCAGAGAAAAAAACTTCCTAGTGAGACATCCTAGGAAGGAGGAGAACGAGAGAAACAGCCTTTTCTGGAAACCCTGCAGAACCTGGCATTAACCTGAGATTTGTTACCAGAGCAATTGCACCGCAGAGAGGAAAAATCCCAGCTGACTTCCATATGGACCCTCGTCCCTCTAAGACAGTCCTTCTCAAATAGTGGGGTGCGCCCCCGGAGCAATGCCAGGGGGGGGGCGCATGTGACCCCGAGGAACATTTTGTGGCAGGGAGGGGTTTTTTTTCTCTCTCTCTTTTTTTGCACCATTCTCATTTTGTCAGGGTGCGTTGGGCAACTGTTTGCTAAAATCCGGCAACTCTCAGTATTAATAATAATAAAGTTATGAACAAATATGTCTGTCTTGTCGTTTGGGGAGCCATGATTGAACCGTGTCGCTTCCCTCTACTGCTGAGCAGCTGGTGACGCTCGTCCCCCGCGGCACGCGTTAGTTAACTGCCCCACTTTCACTTTGTTTTGTTTTTTTGTTTGTTTTTTTGGTTTGTCAAAGCACAATTTTGATGTTTTTTAATACAGAAGTAATGTTTAATAAATGTTAGGACTCTATTCTTTGCTAACAAATCCTCAGCTCTGGACGCATTTCACCCACAGCGCGCAGCAACAAAGAGTATAAACTCAAAGCGAGAGCGACACCTGCCCCCTCTTTCCTCTTTCACACTGACATTTTTTAGTTTTATCGACTGTCAAAATACAGTTTTCATGTTTTTTTTATTTGTTGGAAAAACGTATGTTTAACAAATGTTAGGACAGGCAGCAGCCC